CCTTGGCACTCCTCCATTGGCGCAAGTGGATGGTTTGCAGCTTGTATGAGGCCCTTACACCTCGAGTGACATCCGCAAATCGTTTCCTAAGCAGTCTACATAATGTAGGAAGAGGGGTTATTTTCGAATAAGCTACCATATTATTTTCGCATTGTGCAGCGCGAGCGAGCGATCGGGTGAAGCTGGCTGCTTCGTCTTTGAGGGCCTGGAAAGCGATGAGGACTTATTCCTCGGCCACAATCTCTTGCAAATAGACATATGTGTTGACATTCGCCTCCCAGTTATCGAAGTTTTCTTCCTTCTTTGGGGCGGCCAGCTTTGCGCCTTCAATGGCGCCGGTACATAATTTATTTGTGCCTTCTATTCTCGCTTTCACTTTTGCACCTACGTGCAACATCATCTTGCGTGCAAAGTCTCTAAAGCCTAGGCGAATGAAGTGTAGTGCTATATCCTGGGCTCTAGCAAACTGGTGTTGCTCATCCCGCGCTTGAGCCAGGAATTCCATGTTTCTTGTAATAATATCGAGTTTTCCTTGTAGATCTACTTGTGCCTGCATCCGCTCCCTTTGCTCCGTTATTGCTTCCAACTCCTTCGCCATTCTACTTGCCTCATCCATTCTTCTCTTCTTCTCCTTTATGAGACGAACTTCCACTGTAGCTTTTTCTCCTCCTCTATCGTCTGGCGTCTCAAGGGGTCTTCTTCTGCCTCCAACTCCCTTATAACTGCTTCCTTCTCCTCCCTGGGAACATACAACATCGCTTCTTCCCCTTCCCCCAAGGACAAATTTGCCACCCACTCAGAGACTTTTCGTTCTAACCATGAGTCTTCCTTCTTCGTGCCACTAGGTTCCCCTTTTTCCCTGGTGCTTCTCCTAGTCAAGGGCTCTTCCTTTTCTTCTTCCTCTTCTATCTCTTCCCCTTCTACTGCCCTCAGTTTCTCTTCCGCCTCCTTTTTCAATCTTTCCATTTCCTCCTCCAACTTCTTCGCCGCCTTCTTCTCCAGTAAGGCCAACTTCTTGGCCTGCATAATCAACTCCTTAGCCTCCTTCTCTTTTCTCTCTTGCAGTACGGCGGCGGCTTGCTCTTCCTGAGCCTTGGTGTAAGGGGTGGTGCTCTTACCACTAGGCAGGTCAACCATGGTGAAAGATGTACAACCGGGACTCAGTTCCACTCCTCACCACCTAGACTCTCACCCCCTGACTGACTTAACCTAAGACTGACTCAACTAAGGACCACAAAGCCTTACCCTTTGATCCAGCTAGGTTACCACAACCGACGGAAGCTTTCGCCACCACTGTCCTTTACAATCTAGACCCAGGTGCTTTGCACCAGCAGTCAATCCCACCTGGCTTTCACTCCGGTTCAGGACCCTGTCAACTAGGGTCTCTAGCCTAGACCTAATACTAAGTTGTCACTACAAGACTTCAACGTTGATTAGGAGGCATTTAAGGAGTTCCCCCATAACTCCTCAGGAATTCTTTAACGTCGCAAACAGTACGACAAGATCAACAAGTCCTCTCAAAACATAGACATCTCGTTGTGCAGCCCACAACTCGGATTTTGGGCCTACCGTGCCACACTCAGCAGCCCGCTGGTTTGTACCGGTCCTTGGGAGGGTTCCTGTCCTCCGGGTCAGTCAGTCGTCAGACACAACCTTTGGCCCTACTCAGCCCGTGTGGGTTTGGTCAACAAAGATCTACGACTTCATACACAGAGTTCCTATCATTTGGATAGAAGAGACTCAATGCAGAAAGGAGAGACAGACAGACTCAGCGAGTACCATAGGGTGAGTGCACATCCATAGGCGAGGGGATAGGCTGAAGGCTTGGCGGGAATATACCAACTCCAACTTGGTCAATTTCGTGGTCAACAGCTTCGGTCAACACTGGTCAACACTTGGTCAACTCACCGGTCAATGCCTTGGTCAACACCCATCAACTCCCCGGTCAACTCCTCGGTCAAAGTCTTGGTCGACGTTGATCAATCCTCAAATCGGCTATGGCTGCCGACCCCTTTCTTCCTCACCAACCTTCTTTGTTCTCCTTCTCCCTCCTTCCTTCTTTCTCCTTTTTTCTCACTTCACCCCGGTTATGGCTTCCTTCACTTTCGCCTTCCCTTCTTCCTGTTCCTTAACTATGACTTCTTCTTCCCTCTTCGTCTCTCCCTCCTCCACTAGTCTTTCTCCTCCATCTTCTCCATGTTCGAGACCGGCAGCTATGGCCGCCACCTTCTTCCTTGAACCGTGAAACAATCTTGTATCGCTCCTCTCTCTCTCTCTCTCTCTCTCTCTCTCTCTCTCTCTCTCTCTCTCTCTCTCTCTCTCTCTC